CGTATTTGCCACATCACATGCCTTGTCATGTTTGTAATCACCAATAGAAAATAATACATGTGCCACTTAGAACTCTACTCCCTCCATCCCAAAATAAGACAACCTACTCTGTCCAAAAAAGACAACTTAGTAATAGGATGTCCAGATTCATTGTCACAAGCTAGTACTAGGTAGCTTTTTTTTTTGACGGAGGTGTTCATTTGACCATTTCATAGCTTATATGACTTGGGGCCTGTTTAGATCCCACCCTAAAATTTTACACCCTGTCACATCAAACGTTTGAACACTTGCATGAAGTATTAAATATAGGTTTTAAAAAATAACTGATTGCACAGATTGCGATTACTTTGTGTTAATGACCAAATTTGGTAATATCAGTATCGGGGATGAAGATTAGATCGAAGCGGAATCGAAGATGAAGATCGTTTCAGAAACAGAGTAAGAATCGGCTGGAGTCCAAATCGGCTACGACCAGGGTCGGTTGAGTTCGAGTCAGACTGGATAAGCCGATACAGCCGATTCCGACAATATGACTCGGTATATATCATCGGGTTGAGTTAATGTGCTTCACGTGGATTGCCACACATGGATTGAGTCCTAAGAAGGCAATTGTATCTATTAATTAAGATATTTTATGTAATTTCCTTAGAGATAAGTGTGGGCAAAAGTCTGCCGCAAAGACTTATGGTATTTAGAGTTTTTTAGAGATAATAGTCGTGTCCGATATGGACATATCTTGTAATCCTCGGGTATAAATAGACCCGAACCTCATGTAATCAAACTAACACACGTTCAATACAATCTCGGCGGATCGCCACCCTTTTCATACTTATAGCTGCATCAGTTGAGTTTGATCTTATGAGTCGTAATTAGAATCTCAATCTCTAGTCTGCCTTTTGGTTGCCGATTAGGGTAGCGTCGGAGTTTCAGCCGATCTTACCTGATTTAACCATATTTATTTCATATGCTTGATTGACACGTTAAAATCTGCCCTTTATGCTAAGATCTTGCCGCAATTAAGTATATTAGGCTTTTGTTTAGTATATTCTACTTGCTTTAACATCTTAGTATAGAGTGGTATCGGAGTATTAGCCGATACATGCTAGATCTATCTGATCGGCTATGCTATGAACGTGTATAGCCTCGTTATTAATATATATTTCGATCTAAGTGATTTATACTGTCTCGGCATGACGATCGATCTATCCCAATCACTTGATTTAAGTATATATCGATATAGGGATTATATATTGTTAATATCTACAGCCGATCGAGTAGATTTAGTTCGTTCATATTTAATAATGACTGTCGATCGATGTAGATATGACATCGGCTCAAAGATAAATGATATGTCATCGGCACTTAGCCGATCGGCTATCGTTTATTGATTTAATCGCAGTTTCTTTGTCTTTGTTTCTTGTTGATTGCAGGATCAAATCAACTGGCACGCTAGCATACCTGAAGGCGAGTTTTGGACCTGCACTAGAGTTAAGAAGATCTCCCAGGCCTCGTGTTTTACATCAACACTTTGTGAGAAATCTTTTAAGCCTAATTGCTCCATGATTTGATAATATGGTGCTACAGTAAATATATACTAATGATAGATAATTAGGCTTAATAAATTCGTCCTGCGGTTTAGTTTTTTTTATAAGGGTCCGAACACCCCATGCAACACCCTATATAATACCCGATGCGACACACCAAAACTTTACACCCCTAAATCTAAATACCCCCTTAGACTACTATAGGCAATTGTAGACATCTTGGACGTATCAAAGCTAAGATTTTGGATAGAACCATCATCAATAATGGTTATCATGGCCTTTTTCTCATCTTCATGCTATAACTTATACTCCTAGTTGTTTACACTAGTACAGATACTTCTATCTGTGACGGGCTCTAATATGCCTAGAAATAGCGGGCCATCACAAGGAAGTCATCTCAATCGGGCCAAAAAGTGCCCGATTGAGATATAGTCACACAGACAAATTAGATGGGCATAAAACTTAATCCCGTCACGGATGACACCTATCAGTGACGGGCCGTAGTTTAGGCCCGATTGAGATAACATTTCATTTCTCAAACGGGCCTAAAGTTGCGGCCCGTCAAGATGACCATCAACTGTGACGGGCACCAACTTTAGGCCCGATTGAGATAACATTGTATATCTTAAACGGGCCTCAAGTTGTGGCCCGTCACAGATGACCATCATCCGTGACGTGCACCAACTTGAGGCCCGTTTGAGATAGCAACTAGGCCCGTCACAGATGACTCATCAGTGACGGGCTATATACTTAATCTCTATCGGGTATTAACTAAAGCCCGTCACCGATGACTATTTTTTTCATTTTTCATATGAAATGTTTATATTTGTAAGTTGAACTATAGCAAAATAATTAAATGCAGTATAATAATTCATTTTATGAGTCAAAATAATTTTACGGGTAGTAAATGATTTCAAATGGAAAAAATGTCAACAACAAAGTTGTATAACTTATCAAGATTTACAACTTTTAGTTTCGTCATTTTTCTATATAAAATTTTTTTTGAACACTTTGAATTTGAATTTGAAAATATAACAAATTCAACAACATTTTCAAATACTAAACGATTTCAATTGAAAAAGTCATCAACAACAAAGTTGAATAACTCATCAAGATCTAAAACTTTTATTTTTGTTATTTCTTCATCCGACGAAATGTTAGTAATATTATTCACAAATTTTACATATATGTGTTATAGTTTTATAAAACCAGATAAGAGATATGTCAATTTTGTGAACAATGTTACTATCACTTTGTCGTATGAAGAAATGACCAAAATAAAAGTTTTAGATCTTGATGAGTTATTCAACTTTGTTGTTGATGACTTTTTCAGTTGATATAATTAATATTTGAAAATGTTGTTTGAAGTTGCCATATTTTTAAATTCAAATTTAAACGGTTCAAAAAATGTTATATAGAACAATGACCAAAATAAAAGTTATAGATCTTGATGAGTTATACAACTTTGTTGTTGATGAATTTTTCAGTTGAAGTCGTTCACTGATCTAAAATTCTATTTAAACTTTTCAAACTTTGAATTTCAAATTTCAAATTGTTTAAATAGAGTCATATGGAGAAATGACCAAAATAAAAATTTTGCACCTCGATGAGTTCTACAACTTTGGTTTTGGTAACTTTTTCATTTGAAATCATTTAATAACCCCAATTTGACATCCTGGCTTAGGGCTTAATAAGATTAATAGAATAATCATACCAACAAGTTACAACTATTTTTCCGGAAGCCAATCTCCAAAGAAACTTGATGTTAAGCGTGCTTGGCTTGGAGCAATTTCACAGTGACCGACCGGGAAGTTTGAACTTCAAGTGAGGACAAAAAAAGACTAGCCTAGGAGGCCTGAGACTAGCCAAAAAATAAAATTTATTTTTTTAATTATACTCATATGTGACGGGCATTAACTTAGGCCCGATTGAGATGATGGTCATCTGTGACGGGTAATGCCCGTTACAGATAAGGGTCATCTGTGACGGGCGCTAGTTGTGGCCTGATTGAGATAGGTCATCTGTGACGGGCTATAATTTGACTGGTCGTCTGGGTCAAAGCTATCGGTGACGGGCTTTAATTAGGACCTGATTGAGATAGATTTATCCGTGACGGCCGTTTGCCCGATTGAGATAACTCTTCACATCTGTGACTTCTAGCCTGTGACGGACGCCGTGCCCGATTAAGATGGGGTTTACCGTCCAATTGAGATGATGGTATCCCTTCTAGTGTTAGTTTGAAGCACTCCTGAATCCTGAACTTAAAGCGCTTATCCCGTCTCAAATCACAAGAAGTTGGACCAGCTACTTCCGGTCTTCCACTTTATTAAGCACGTGAAGTCGAACAAAGAAAGAGTCCATGGCATTATTACAATTATATATTATATAGGACAATTTAAACCATGCCACACAAAATTTGTAAAATTTTACAAAATTTATGATATGCCACCCTGATCCATATGTCATTGACTCATGTGGATTCTACATGACATTGAGATACGTGTGGCATATCTTAAATTTTGTAAATATAGGGTGGCATGGTTCCAACAAACCCTTATATTAATACAAACTTTAATATGATACATAGTACAGATAAGATGATCTATGTAACCGATAGCTAAATTTTTCTGGTGAACGTAAAGGGACCTAGAAAGTACCAAATTAATATGATATAGTCGTATAGACATATTGTGTACCTGAAATGAAATGAACATATCTTATATATACATCTCATAGTGCAAAGAAAAACTATTATTTCTACAATAAAAATAAATAATTATATCACTGAACAACTACTCTCTCCGTGGCCATAAAAAAACAAATCTAGAATATGATATGATATTTTCTAGTACAATAAATTTAGAACACCGCATCTCGTTTATATTGTTCTTTTAACATCATATCTCGTCTGAGATTGGTTTTTTATGGGACAAGGGAGTACACCTCAGTTTCTTAAGACGTGTTTAGATCTAGTGGTGAAAAGTTTCGGCGTGTCACATCGGATATACGGACACATATTTAAAGTATTAAACGTAGATTAATAACAAAACAAATTACATATTCCGCTTGTAAACTGCAAGACGAATTTATTAAGTCTAAAGAATCCGTCATTAGCAAATGTTTACTGTAGCACCACATTATCAAATCATGTAGCAATTAAGCTTAAAAGATTCGTCTCACAATTTACATGTAATCTATATAATTAGTTTTTTTCTATATTTAATATTTTATATATTGTCCAATCATTCAATGTGACATGGTAAAAAAAAATTTTCGTGGGAATTGAACAGTGCCTTAATCCGAAATCTGAAACCTCCATCATTTACCAACCAAATCTTATTACCGAACCCCAAAAAAGAAGTCTCCTAATCATTTTCTTCAAAAAGTAAATAGTACAAGGATGAAATGACAAAAAGCGCCGCAGCATAAAAGTATAAAACCGCGCGAGCACGCAAAGCGCAGCTCACTTTCGCGGCATTTCTTACATCTCGCCCCCTCCAATTCCTCCCAATTCACGACTCGCCCCCCTCCCCTTCCCCACCTTATCTCCGGCGATCTCCTCGCCGTCTCCGGCGGCGGGGGAGAGATGCGGGGGGCCGACCTGATCAACCTCCTCCTCCCGGACGAGATCCTCGACGAGGTGCTCCGCCGCGTGGCCGTGTCCGGGGCCAAGCGGGACCTCGACGCGTGCGCCCTCGTCTGCCGCCGCTGGCGCCGCCACGACCGCGCCACCCGCCGCTCCGCCAAGCTCGCCGCGTCCGGGGCCCGCGCCGACGAGGTGCTCCGCCTCGTCGCCGAGCGGTTCCCGGCGCTCGTCGAGGTGTCGGTGGACGAGCGCATCAGCGTCGAGGCCGCCGCGGCCGGGCCCTCCTGTGCCGCCGCTAGATCGCGCCGCCGCCCGGTGGGTTCCCTCCATCCCTATCCTTGCTTTTGTGGCTCCGTACGCGAATTGCAGGAAATGTAGAGGATCGTAGAGATGTTTTCCGAATCGGGATTATGAGGAGATTTAGAATTTTGGGAGAAGGTTCGCATCTGTCGAAGGTTTTGTAGGGGAATTGGGGGCAAACTATCGATTTCTTATCCTGTTTTGAAGGTAGTTTGATCGATTTGGACCTTACAAATCCGCATTTCTCTTGGTTGGATGCAGAATCGTGATAACTGATAATTCTCCTGGGGATTGAGTTGTGGTATCCATTTGTACATAGTTGTATGAGATCTGCATTTCCATGACTTGTACAACAGCTGCATGCAAATAAGTAATGTGTGAGTTTTGCATATGATCAGTTTGAAAAACCATTGCTATGTGTCCACCAGCTTAGTAGTGATTAATGATTATTATACGGCAATATATATGAACTGATGTGCTCGGATGTTGTCCTATTACATGCAGTTAGATTCTTTAATGAAAACTTTCTCCTTGCAGTAGATTAACATAGCCTTGTACTGATGCACTGATGCGATACAGATGTATGATGTTAGTCCTTCTGGGCGCCGTAGGAGGATGTCCCGCAGCTCAAATTTCGGAGCGCACATGTCCCCATTTCCATTGGACCAGCCGGGCAGTGATAATGAGACAGAGCGCACTTGCTTGACTGATGTTGGATTAACTAGTCTTGCCAGGGGTTGCAAAGGGCTCGAAAAACTAAGTCTGGTATGGTGTTCTTCCATAACTTCGACAGGCTTAGTAAGAATATCAGAGAATTGTAAGAACTTGAGTTCGTTGGATCTTCAGGTAATGTCATGCTACCCGTTCCTTTGCTTTTTTCTCAGTTATTTACTTCATCATCTCTGAATTCTTTCATGTTTTTTTTTTCTTGAAGACTTCTATGCCTCTGTATTAACTGTGAGTGTCCAATGTAATATTTACTTGTAATACGGTATATGAAACCTCACAATACTTGGAACAAGCATTATTCCTGGTGATTAGCAGCAGTCTTCTCTAATTATGAGGAAATGGTGTATCTGCATGCCAAATATGCTGTTAATGTAGAGACTAATTATGCACACAAATTTTTGACCTGTCTAAATCACAATTTTTTTTCTGCAGGCTTGCTATATTGGAGATCCAGGACTTATTGCTATTGGTGAAGGCTGCAAGTTACTTCGTAATTTGAACTTGCGTTTTGTTGAAGGCACTTCAGATGAAGGCTTGATTGGACTAATAAAGAACTGTGGACAATCACTTGTCTCTCTTGGCGTTGCCACTTGTGCTTGGATGACTGATGCATCCTTGCATGCTGTTGGATCACACTGCCCTAACCTGGAATTCCTGTCACTGGAATCAGATCATATTAAAAATGAGGGAGTAGTATCCGTTGCTAAAGGATGCCGCTTGTTGAAAACTTTGAAGCTGCAATGCATGGGTGCTGGTGATGAGGCCCTAGACGCTATTGGTTTATTTTGTTCATTCTTAGAGAGTCTGTCACTCAACAACTTCGAAAAATTCACGGACAGGTACTAAGTAGAATTGTAAATCAATGCCACAATATTTTATAGAGGCATATTATCCGACTTTGTTTCACATTCTTGTTTTGCATAGTTCTGTCAAATCATTATGTGCTGGCCAGAAAGGAAGGGTACTACCAAGTTATATGGAATTAGATATAGGATACAAAATGTTGGACTAGTTATTGCACCAGCCTGCTGCCCTGCTGGAATGCTAAAAGTTAGGTGCTTATCCTAAGGTGGGAGGTCTGTTGGTCCAACACTCTTAACTATGTTCAATAACATGGGAACATTTATCAACTAACTGGACTGTTGACTGATTAAACACACTAGCCCATTAACTAACATCCATTGTTTGCAGTTGTGATGTTTTTGTTGCTGCACCAACTTAGGAATTAATTTGCCTTTAAGATAAGTTTCGAATCTACTAGTTTGACAATTTCCAGAGTATAGATATTCCTTTATCTTGACATAATTCTCCTTTGCTGTACATTACATTCTTGGAATTGCTGAACTTCATCAGGACATTAGTACATTACAAATCCATACCTGTTTTCTGTTGAATCATTTCTCTTGTACTGTAGGTGTTTGTCACACATTAATTCTTACTGCTTCCACCTTGTGCTGCTTCATTAACTTTTAAGTTCATTCAATTATTCACTTACATTTTCCTTTGGAATTGCAGGAGCCTTTCTTCTATTGCAAAAGGGTGCAAGAATCTCACAGATCTTATTCTCAATGACTGCCATTTACTAACTGATAGAAGCCTTGAATTTGTAGCTCGTAGCTGCAAAAAATTAGCACGCCTGAAGATCAATGGTTGTCAGAATATGGAAACTGCTGCACTGGAGCACATTGGACGTTGGTGCCCGTATGTTTCTTGCTGACAACTCAATATATTAAAAGTTCCTTTCTTCACTTAAAATCTATATATTGCCTTTCCTGTTTTAATTTATTTCTCTATAGTTCACATAAGTGAGCAGTATTTTAGAATGAAGGGTAATTCAAGAAAAGGTTTTAGATGCTTGATCCATAAATAAACTACAATATGGTTTCTGATTACATTGGCACATTGGCAAGAGTGTGGGTTACCCTACCTTTTACTTCAGAAAAAAAAAAGTAGTTGTTGCACTCTGGCATTGTTATTTAATTATCTTACCTGCATTTTTAGAGCTATGTCATATTGATATTTTGTTGCACTAACAGTAGATGATTTGCTTTCTGTCAAAACAGGGGTCTTTTGGAATTATCTCTAATTTATTGTCCAAGGATCCAGGACAGTGCATTTCTGGAGGTTGGTAGAGGTTGCTCCCTTCTCAGGTCTCTTTATTTGGTCGACTGTTCCAGAATAAGTGATGATGCCTTGTGCTACATAGCTCAAGGTTGCAAGAACTTGACTGAACTTTCTATTCGGCGTGGTTATGAGGTACTTTTGACATTTGCATAGATATTCTGCAACTAGCATACATGGTGAAATATGTCAAATATAAGATTTGACATGTTTTAGAATTAAAGTGTTAGATGGAATGACATGATTTGGTTATTACCATCTTTATTCTTTTACCATATGCAGCAATGAGAAAAAAATTCAAATATCTTTAGTTGATTGAAGTTCATTTTGTATGCAGATAGGAGACAAAGCATTGATATCTTTTGCTGAGAACTGTAAATCGCTTAGAGAGTTAACACTCCAATTTTGTGAGAGGTAAATATTATCATGCATTTAACCATCCAATTTATCTATCTTGTCCATTACTCCATGCACATCATCCCCTTACCGAAGCTCATTATAATTCTTGTTACACTTTGTTGAATGATTGGTATTAGGAAACAACTTAGATTCATAGATTGATTAATCATATCTTAGCCTATTAGGAGTGACATTGACCACGTTGTTATGCAAGACAACCTAACATTTGATAGTTGGGATAAGGACTGGCCTCTACAGTATCAAATATTCGACAGCATTTCTACAGCTCCATCCTATGCATGCTGTTCGAACTAGCACCCTTGGGGGATTGTATGTTCTGAATGCATCACTAGACATATCAGTTTCTAAATTTTGTTGCAACTTCCTTTCCAGGGTATCTGATGCAGGGCTGACTGCAATTGCTGAAGGCTGTCCTCTTCGAAAGTTAAACTTGTGTGGATGCCAACTAATCACTGATAATGGGCTCACTGCAATTGCAAGAGGATGCCCTGATCTGGTCTACTTGGATATAAGTGTTCTCCGGGTACATCACTTGTCACACTGAATTTCTTTTATGAAAAATTATCTGAAAATTGTGGTATCAATGAATAAGGCTTACTATGGTCCGCGCAGTTAGGATTCAGGACTAAAATCAGCTCATTTCAACCAAGGAACACGTAAAGAACATATGATGATACAATACTAGATACAGCTGTAGGTTTTGGTATGCAGAGAACTTCAAAATTTTATAATTTGAATAGTCTGTGTTTTAGTAGTTGTAGATCAAAGAGTTAATACTAGAAATAGATGGTCATAAAGAAGACGAACAAAAAGGATTATCTCTGTAAGATACAGCAAATAACAGGCCTATGAATAAGTTTTTATCTGCACTAATATGAAGTTCGTCATGATATCTTCTCCATTAACCAGCACTCAAATTATTCCTTTGTTTAGTTGTCTGGTGCCTTATACATAAGGTACCAGGAGTATTGCGGTACATATATGTGTTCAAAATTTATGGCTCCAGACAAAATTTGCTTAGTGCTTGTGTGGCGCGTGTGCTTGTCACAGACTCTGCTCCAACAATCGATAAATGATGTTTACTTTACAGGATTTACAGCTATTTCTTAGACAATCCTCTTATATACCCATCTGTCATTATGCGAGAGCAGTGTGATTATTTTACCTTATTTTCTGATGCCTTGTTCTCTTCAACCAACAGTCCATAGGAGACATGGCGCTTGCGGAGATCGGTGAAGGTTGCTCGCAGCTTAAAGATATCGCGCTGTCCCACTGTCCAGAGGTCACTGATGTTGGTCTAGGCCACCTTGTCAGGGGCTGCCTGCCGCTGCAGTCATGCCAGATGGTGTACTGCAGGCGAGTGAGCAGCACAGGAATAGCGACTATCGTCTCGGGCTGCCCCAAGTTGAAGAAGCTCCTCGTTGAGGAGTGGAAGGTGAGCGAGAGGACGCGGCGCAGAGCAGGATCAGTCTTGTCGTTCCTCTGCACCGGGCTTTAACCTGAAAATGGAAAAAAAAATCTGTGTTTTAACAACTCTGTTGTTGGTCAGAAATCGTGCTCATGAGTTGCTGCACCCTGTGCCATAGCTTGTTTAGCTGAAAAAAAGGTTGTATTAACTGCAAATAAAATGGTGTTCTATGTATGTTACTATGATATAAAAATTATGAACCAAATAAACAGGGTTCAGTCAAACTCAAGTGAATGAATTGTCGCAAGTTCAATTATATGAACAAATGTACATTTGCATTACTTAACCTTGTTGTCCTGCCTGTCACTCTAAAGTAGAGCATGATTTTTTTACTCATTCTTTAAGTGTATTAGAAGATGAGACTGATTGTCACATTTGGGATTGCTTTAACCTGCAACATTCTAAGCAGGTTGCCTCCTCCGGCATCTGGAATCGCTTGGTATCCCCTCATCAAACAAGGATCTTTTTTTTTTTTTTTTGCTTCTGATCATGCAAAGCACCTTTTAGCATCTGATTCATGTTTTCTCAGCTTCAAGAAACGAATGAATTCTTTGCTCCTGCATACCCTCTGCTTCCTTCCTACGCTACTGTCTTTCTTCTTCTTCTTGAGATACCTTATCCACTCCAACCCAAAAACATCAAGTTGAAGCATCTATAAAAGTTCATCATCCTCCATTTCTACACCGAGAATCGAACCACGAAAAACACTCACACACCCACGAATGCGCCGCTAAAAAAGCGCAAATAGGCAGCTTCCAATGGAGAAAGGCACTGTAGGTGGCATTGGCATGTGTGACCGTCTCTTGACGTTCCTCGCCAAGAACCTGTCCATGAACCGGCAGAAGACCATCACCGATGGCCCAAGAAATGACAGCAGCAACAACAATGGCGGCCATGAAGAGGAAAGAGGAGAAGAAGACGACGACGAGTTCACCATTGAGATCGAGAAGGCCGAGGTGTTGCTAGTCGACGAGAAAGACGACGACGACGACCACAAGAGCATCACGGCCACCATTCTTGAAGAGAAAAGCACTGAAGTGGCGACGAGCAATGGAGGAGCAAGTGTGCAGAAGGAGGACGAAGAAGGTGGCCGTCGTAATGATCCTCCGGTGGCTGCAGAAGCTGCGACGGTGGCGGAGGCGGCGCCGGTGAAGGAGGAGAAGAAGGTGAAGAAGACGGTGGCGATCAAGGAGGAATCCGGCGCGGCGGCGGCGGCGGGGTCGGCGTCGTCGGCGGTGAAGAGGTTGCTGTCCAAGAAGAGGCAGGCGTCGTCGAGCCAGCTCGGAGGGGATCACGACGGCGGCCAGCAGACGAAGCCGCCGGCGAGGCGGCCGGGGCTCCGGCCGAGGATGCCGTCGATCCTGAGGGTGCCGTCCAACATCAACGAGAAGTCGTCGAGCTTCATAGAGGAGCGCAAGAAGAGCTTCGGCGGCGGCGGTGCCGGCGCCGGCGGCAAGCCGGAGAAGTGAAGGATGCATGTGCACGTGTGACGTGTCAGCTAGCGTGAAGTGCTTGTGTGCGCGCGCGTGTTGGTTAATTAATTAATTTGGATAATCGATTGTTCGTTCTTTACTTCTGTCCAAGGGGCTTGCTTGATCATGAAATTAAATTCGTTATTGTGAAAAAAAATATAAAATTTATACCGTTGTTATATACCTTTTGCTCTATGTTTTTCTTTTGCCTCAATATATTGCTTGTCGTTCCTGGATTTATTTTAACGACCCACACAAGACGTGGAATTTCCTATATGTTAATACAGTACCAAAAAAATATTATAACATTGAAAGATTGTAATCAGAAAAAAAAATCACCATCACGTGCTAGCAGCTTCTCACACAAATTCAAGCAACCCACAAGATTGGAACTTAGTTCCCCACAAAAAAAAATATTTTGTTGAAAAATCCAAATATAAAGCTTTGTTAAAAATACAGGTGGGTATGATAATTTCTTAAAAAACCTTTTGAAACTTTTTTTTAACTTGTCATGCTGTAAGCAGAGGTGCTAGCAGACAGTAGTAACTTGCCTTGAGTTACCGTGCTAATGTCCGTTTACATATACCATGCATGGACAAAAGATTTGTTTGTAAAAAAAATAAATTGTACAGAGAGAACATGTTTTCTTATAAAGGAAAAAAATATTTTGAAATTTTAAATTAAAGTTTCAAAAATAAAATAAATAATCCAAGGTTCACCTTTCTGATTGAGCGACCACCGGCAATACGACTGTTTTTGCCAAATTTGCATAAATGCTTATCAAATTTTAGTTAAATTTATTGTTTTAAATTTGAATTCGGAAAAGATATACTAAAATTTACTTGGAATATACTTTCATTCATCCCATACTGAAACATCAAAATTTCGCAGTTTTCGATCAATAACTCAGACCACTAAGAGCATCACCAACAGTCTATCTATTCCATTCCTAATCCTATTTTTTTTGGATTTTGGTTAAAAAAAACTGATCCAACAGATTCCCAAAAGAACTCCGGACGTTTTGGAGTTTCCATCTCCAATTTTCTCGGTACGTGTATTTGAGGGCGAGAGAACGACTCCCAATCCCCTCCTTCCACATTTCACCTCTCCTTCCTGCGTCGGGGCGATCTCCTTCTGCGCACGGGAAAGGAAAAAAACTAGATTTTCTGTTGGTAGTTTAACAGAAGGGCCCACTTTTAGTTTTTGTGATTGAATTTAGGCTATCTCTTGGAGGAATGGGTTTTTTCACCACCTATTTTCAGTTTAGGAAACACAAAAATTAAATTTTAGAGTAATGCTCCGGTGCAATCTACTTGCAGTATTCTACTCCAAGTAGAATTAATCTTGACCTTTTATTTTGAAGGGCGGGTAAGTAATCTCCTAATATCATTTAGGGGTAATTTTGTCATGGGATGTTTTCTTCGGTTCGCATCGCATTAGGTCCGGACTCCATCACACGCAGTCACCTCGCTATTCCTCCCCCGGCCTCGCCGCCTTGTCCGCCCCCACCGTCGCCGTCCGTATCTCCCGCCGTCGCCGCCTTGTCCGCCTCCTCAGTCGCATCGTCCATATGGGAGCGGACGAGTGTGGCGGCGTCCGAGCGAGGATCTTGAGCAGGAGTTCTGGCGGTAGTAAAAATTCCGACGTGGGCTTCGGCGGCGGCGGCGTCACGCACGCACGCAACGTCATTTGCGTGGCGGCATCGTGTCGGCTCATTCGTCTTCTTGCCGTTCCGATCACTGCGTTGTTTCATGGATTATATGGATCAATTAAGATCTTGCACGACCAACTCCGACGAGGATGACATGGTGTTCGATCTATGGATTGTAAAATGATAATACCCCTACGCGAATTATTTTTCCTAGACGAAAACACCTCTCCACATTTCTACTTCCACTAATTCTGGTGGGAGTAGAACTAGATCTTAACCCTACAATTAAATATGATCGAGGGTCCAGATTACTTTCTACTCCGAGTAGAAAGCACCGGAGTGGGACTGTAAATTTTAGGGATAGATTATTGGTAGACTGTTGGTGATGCTCTAACACAACGATATCACATCAGTTATCAAATATGGAAACCGAACATGAGCCACAGCAAGTGCAACCCACTCTCTTGGACCTTCATGTCTGGCACCAATATTTCAACTAGGCACCTACAAATTGGGCGCAATCGGGCGCTATTTCACCAAGTAGATTGAACATGTTTCACTAAATATATCGAAAATATTTCAGTCTTTTAAAAAGCTGAAACATAATCAAATCACCTTATGAAACATTTTGCTACAATGTATGAAACAGCGGTTTCGAAAAAAAATCAGACGTTGTTCATCCTATATAAAACAATATTTCAGCAAATAGCGAAAGAATGTTTCAATTCTTTAAAAAAAGTGAAAGACGATCAAATTGCTAGATGAAATAATTTGGTTCAATATATGCAACAAAAGATTTGAAGCTATTGCAACACTTAAACCCTGTGTACATCAACAACCCACGTATCTATCAAGATGAAATTATTAAACAGTATCAAAACTCACTGCAACATTTGATTCATACATAGTTAAATATCACGAGTACACTAGCTGAAATATTATTGGTAGAAAAAAAAATGAAACAGATTCCCCTTAATTATAGAACGTTTCTGTTATATCCGGGTAACCGTTGCAACGGGGCACACTGTGGTGGAGACACGTGGTGAGCGCGGGTGCGCGTGGTGGCGGCATGTTGGCGGCGGACGCGCGGGTGCCCGACTTATATTGGCGCGCATCGGGCACCCGACGCAAAGGATTTTCCATATTTCAGTACGCGGAGAACCGCTGGCGGCGATGGATCGATCAACAACGTCGACGGCGTCGTCAAATGTTATTGGCAAACGTGACACTCTTCTTGATTTTCTCTTTTAATTATTTTGTCCCGTACATTGCACAATTAACATATGACGTGTCCATATCAGAAGCGTCCTCTTAATCTTTCACATGTATTTAAAAACATCTGTGTCAAAGGTACTACTTTGTCAAGTTTTATTTAGGACCATTCGGTGCATGCATGCGTGATGACTGATCGACACGCAAATCCATCGTCGACGATCTTTGTTTACTGTTTTGCATAGAAATAGACGATATTAATTAGTCATCGGCGTGTTATGACTTTTAAGAGTCAATGTGGTACTAAGATCTTTACACTGGTGGAGAAACCCTTTGTAGTCCCGGTTCGTAACCCCCCTTTAGTCCCGGTTTCCAAACCGGGAGTACCAATCCGGGACTAAAGATCGCTATCTTTAGTCCCGGGTGAAATAACCGGGAGTAAAGATCGATCTTTAGTCCCGGTTGGTAACACCAACCGGGACTAAAGATCGAGCTGACCTTTTTTTTTGCATGCCCCTGTTGCTGCATGGTTTATATATATATATATATATCTAGATCTAGAACTACTTAAAAAGTAAAACCTGCTTCCTTCGTCCGTGAGAAAAAAAAATGCCGAGAAAAAAACAAACAAAAAAAAAGAAGTCCGACTCCCTTGGAAATTCCCTAAAAAAAAGGAAAGAAAGATTTCTGTATGGAAAAAAATCAAGCGCGAATAAAAGTGCGAAAATTTTGTTCTGTCCGATAAAAAAAGGTGCGACAAAACGGTTTCCGTCTTCCTAAAAAAGTAGAATAATAGTGAAAAAAATATTTTTGTCCGATTAAAAAAAATCTCGTCGTCCGTCAAAAAAAAGCGTGAACATTTTTTTCTGTCCGATTCCAAAAAGAAAAGTTGCGAAAAAATATTTTTCGTTTCTCTTTCTCTATCTCTATCTCTTCTCTACTACTTATATATAAAAAATAAAAAAATAAAAGTGTTTCCGTCGTCCGTCCGTGAAAAAAAGCGTGAAAAAGAAATCGGGCGAAAAAAAATCGAATCCGATTATATATGACGCGGTAAAAAAAATTAAAGACATTTCCGACGTCCGTAGTAACCAAAAAAAGGGCGAAAAAACATGAAAAAAAGAAAGTCCGATTCTATATATACCTAATTAAAAAATTTGTATGGCTTCCAGGTTATAGTTTTCGTCCATCAAAAAAAAATTCCATCGCACGTGCGATCAATCCCGCTTTAATCCCTCTCCGATGGCCAAAAAAAAAAAGAAAAGAAAGAAAAAAAATAATGAGAGGCCGCATCAAAATTTGGACCTAAATTCTAGAGAAAACACTACTACAAGAATACAAGATCAGATTCAACAATACTAAGAAAACACTGACGCGTGGAAGGGGAGGGTGTTGCCGTCGCTGCCGAACAGCCATCGCCGTCGCAGGGATGTAGGTATGCCGGGCCGCCGCCATGTTGTTTTGAGAGAGAGGGGGGGAGGAGAAATGATTTTAGGGTTAGGGTTTGGGATGTTGAACTTTTATATAGGTCGGGATCAATCAGGACCATCTATCACATCGGACAGCTTCAGCTTCTCCCACGTTAGGCTGAACGCCATTCCCAGGTCGCCCACATGGAATAAGTTCACTTTAGGTCGCTTAAGTTGTTCCTCCCCGATTCTATTCCCATGCCGCCCACACTATTGGGCCACCTCATGGACCGCGTGTACGCTCTGTGTGGAATAAGTTCACTTTAGGTCCCTTCAGCTGAACTTTTTTTTATTTCATTATGAATATATTTTCTTAAAGAGCTCATATCATGTAAAACTAAACCTTAATCATATAATATTTTTATATTTGTTATAATTGCAACGCACAGTCATTTTTTCTATGTAAAAAATTTACCACGATGTACGAGTGAGAAATATATGCCACACGCACCCGCCGGCTCATGTTTAAACAAGCTGGCAACAGATTTTTCAATTACAGTTCTAATTGTTTTATTTAGGTGATTAAAATTGTTTTTATTTACATAATTAGTTTGTTCTATTTAAGCTTTTTGAAAATTGCTAAAATTCAAGAATAACTTTTCCTACTTCATATTATATTATTTTTAGCTAATGGAATTAACGGAAAATCAATTATATATTTTTATCTTTTTGACCAAAGGTCACTGCAATTTTATTTCATTAATATTATTATTATGATTATGATTCCTTTATCTTTTTTCCCACCAGTATGCATGATTAAAATTACCTTCACCCGTTGCAACGCACGGGCATTATTGCTAGTATATATATATATATAAACCATGCATATATATGTTTCAATACATATAT